TCTGTTTTTTTGTGTCGCATCAAGGACTAAGTGTTATTAGCGAAGCAACATTTTTATTACAGGTGTTTAAATACAGTTATGACTTCATCTATCATTAACATAAACAAAAGTATCAGAACTGATGGTCATAACATAATACGTATCACATAAGTCTACCTATTATCTACTCTACTTATATATACACGCTCACTACAACATCCTCCCAATCATTACTTATATCGAAGATTAGTCCAACAAACTCTCCCTTGAACGTGTTCCGATTCAATTAAAACATACTGATAACATAATAAATTAAGTTATACATATTGTTATCTTACATCACTTGTAAACACAATCATACCATATCATCGGAGAGGTAGGATCATGTAAACATAAAACACTAGAGAATACGGGCGGCTTACCCATTACGTATATATTTCCAAGATGAGCATTTGTGTTTTTGCAAAATTATGACAATCTGGTTCTGGAAAAGCGAACAGAGTACAGATTTTCTTCCACTTTCATTTAGCATAAAATACATAGTTCTAATGTAGAAATATCTTTACGACAGGACATAATAATATGTTCGCATTTGATAGTATTACTTGGCACATATTCACATAGTGTTGAGGTATTCTCAGCCCAAGTTACCTGTGGGTGTAATTTTAGAATGACCAGTTTTGATATCGTGTAATTTAAAACTTGTTCGGATACTAGTCATTCTTGGTCCCGCGTCGTATTCAAAATATCAAAGTTTTGACTCGAGCCAGATAGGGGTTTCTTCAATTTGGAAAAAATCCCATGCATCGTTTAGGCGCTAGTAGTGTTCAGACACCAGACGGACCGACATACAGACAGACGAGCATTTTGGAAGAAACAAACCAACATGTTTTTGGTATCTGGGGACCATAAATGTATTTCCGTTGAAATCTTGAAATCAATTTTCCGCAGCATTACATGACTTTCCCTATACTACATATACGGAGAAATAAAAAGTACAATGTTGATGATAGAGATTTTTTGTTAAATGGAATGTTTAAGAAAATCAGTTCTTTTAAAATAGGCCATGTACATTAACCAAATATGAGTAGTTGAGCATACGTTTGCCAATTTTCTAATTTGGAAATTAGAATTTTCCTCACTCCATTTACTTGCCTTCGGGAATTATCATACTGGAATGGGACGATAGAATTTCCTGCCGCGAGATGGCAGTTTTCTGAAAATTCATTGTTGGGAGATATTACAGCGGCATGAAACTCAATTTTAATAGTCAAATTTGTGATGATATGTTGGCTATAAAAGAATTAGTTGTTCGTTCCTAATGTTCAACTATTTGTTATGAGTTTTACAAATGATGACTGAGATATGTTAATATGGTCAGAAATTGATGTATAATAATATTACGTAACCGTTACTAAGGGCGAGAAAGTAAGTGCTTGTAAAATACTAAGGGAGAGGAACTAATGTATAATTAATAAAAACTGCACACTGATTATAGTAATTAAAGAAACGATTGTATAAAGAGGGTGTAATTGCATGAATGCTTTGCTAAAGAAAACGAGTGACGATAGGAGAGAGTATTATTTACCATGAGTGCAATTATACCCCTTTATCCACGTGTTACGTTCAATATTTTTTTGTTTCGAGTGAAGAATAATTTTAATTTTGAGAAATTCAATCATATAGTTACCATTAGAAGTAGGTATCTGATGATGTAATCTTGGTTTTGAACGA